CGCGGGCACTCATAGGCACTCGCGGGCACTCATAGGCACTCGCGGGCTCTCAGAGGCACTCACGCACGCCTTCCTCGCACCTCGCACATCTCTGGTGAAATCGCAGCCTAATCGAATCTTGGATGTAACATTACAGGCGAATGCTCGCCGTTGAAGAAGGTAGTTTGTAATATAATGCTCAAAAACGAATGTTCACAGGCGAATGCTCGCCGGTGGGACTGGTAGTTTGTAATGTAATACTTGCAAACGAATCTGGAATGTTACATTACAGACGAATGTTCTCGGTGAGGGAGCGCCCTTATGTGATTAGCATACAGAGCAGCGTTTAATACACCGACTATCTTTTAAGTTAATGATGCAGAAGCTAAATACCTGACATCCAGCTCAGTAAGGTCAGGCAGCTGGGCAGACAACTGTATCACCTCACGCCAGTTAGAAAACAGGTTGCGGGAGACATCGAGGCTTCGTACGTTCGGGCAGAGAGAGGCCACGTCGCCCGCCTTCGCGATGTTTTGATCATGTACACATACTTCAAGAAGGCGGTCGAATTTTCTGGAAAAATTAAATATTATATATAAGTTTTTTTTAAACGAGACGGAACGTGTCTACTAGGCTAGCTGAGCATATCCGTTCCACGAAGAACAAAGATGTCAATGGATCTGCAGTGGCAGACCACTTTCTGAGTTCCGGTACTGGTCACTACATTCGTTTTGACAAAGCTAAGGTTTTAGCGAGAGAAGTATTTTGTCCCCCGCAAAATCGGAGAGGCTATTGAAATAAGTAGGCGATCAAATTTTAATAGAGACGGAGGCTGGAGCTTGCCACCGACCTGGAAGCCGTGTCTTCATGGCGCTCGGTATGCAGCTGCAGATGTTAGTAGTAACGACGTGGTGAGCTCTGTGTGCTGGACTGTTCCCGACAACAATTCTATGGACAGCAGTAGCGAAGAAGAGTTCCAGGACGCATTGATGCAACGTATCAGACCCCCGAGTTTCCCACTGCGGACTGCGTCATCGGCGCGCGCGCAGAGAGCAGCAGCGCGCAGTGCTAGACGTGATGCGATCGCGAACGTTGCACTAACCCCCGATGAAGACCATCGATTATGGTTGAAACTAGTCGGACCGCTTCCGACTAAAATACTACGCCAGTAAGTCCCGTTACTTTTATACTATAATATTAAGTTTATTGAACATCACGATGTTTTACTATCACGATATTATTTTTTTGTGAAATTACTCCACTAGGTTGTTATAATTATTGATACAAAGATCGAAGGCGCTGGCTCGCTGGCACAGTATGCTGAAGGTGCTTTTTCTAATCCAGCCGGATCGAAAGAATTTTTCGTGTTCGATCTTTGTATTAATAATTTCTGGGAAAATGTTTGATTTATTTGGGGCATTATCACTAGATTTTAGCATCAAGCTATATCAAGGTAGTTTTGATATGATTTGTAGATTCTCTTATGATAGACTGATTATTCAACAAATCAAAGCATCACACAGTTCAGCCTCTGTAGCATGCCGCGGCGATTAAGCTATTATATCCACATTTAGTTGTGAAATTCGAGTGATAAAACCGTTTTAAACTATTTTAAAATTTTATCACAATATACCGGGACGTCACATTTTTATCACATCGTGACCGCCTCGACCTATGGCTGCATTTTGACAGATCTGCACAGTAATTTTATCAACGTAAAAATTGAACGCGACAAACGAGATAAAAAGAAATAATTAAAACCAACAAATTGATTGGTGTCTATAAATTATTGGAAAAAGATGAGGAGAACATTTTTAATATAGTTCAATGCATGAGAGTAATTATAATTAGAAAAAAAAAACGTAAATAATAACTAATATAAAGCAAAATATGTAAAAACTGAAACTACACAAACCGGCGTTTTTTGTTTCGTCGTTTTCGCGGCGATGATTAAACGACAAAAATAGATAGCTATATACGCAATTTCATATCGTTATTCCTGTTCTTTAAAATGTATAACATTAACCAAAAAACATTAGTTAATTACCAAATAAACAAAAGAACGAATGACTCTAGTACGGTATCTTACCGATTCAGTATTCGTAATAAAAACAAAAAATGTAATAATGGCAACATAGCTTTATCAACTGAAATAAATATGTCACGGGCAGGTTTATCACATATTGCATGTGATATACTGCCATGCTACGGCCACAGAATGAGATGTAAAGTATAAAATCGAGAGTTTGAAGACAAAAGACTTACTGTTTCTGATGGATCTTCTCAAATCCGACCATCTCAATGAATGGGGCGCCCATTTCTCTTTTCCACTCATTGATTATTGTTCTACGGTGAGCTGCCACAGTCTCATCCTGAAATTCAATTGGCAATGTTTTCTAAAGAATAATAAAATTTACAAAGCGACATCTCTTGGCAACCTCTGGTAGCTGTAAAGGAACCTCATTGAGTGAAGAAAAACTTCCATGGATTTCTCACAGTAGGCGCCATGGCAAAAAATCGGTTAAATACAAAAGCAAATATCTGTAACAAATGCACAGAAAAATTCGTAAGGTCTGCTGACTAGATTTCTAGCACAGTTGATAGAGCAGTCGCCTTGGTAAGGCACAGACGCAGGTTCGTGTTCTGTCAGATCAAAGGAATATTTCTTTGAGTTCAATCTATATATTAATAATTATAACAAATTAATGGAGTAATTTCGCAAAAAACAAATAATTATTGTGGTAGTAAAACATATATACAATACTCTAGGGCTGCTAACAGATTGATTGCATGTCACGCGTGAAATCATTATCAACATCACGCAAGCGATGTCTCGGCTGCATTAACTGCATGCAGTCGAAACCGACTTCATACAGCCGAGATCAAGTATGTAAGTTAAAGGCAATTCCTTCTCTCAGTTGTTTATATGATTAGATTGTTACAAGCTTGTGCTTATGTATCAAAATAATGATTGCTGTTTGATTTACGATATCACAATAGATGTGTTGTGACCTGAAACATCTAAATGAAAGTGAAATACAAAAGCAGAGCACAAACAACTGGTTGATTGACTCTTAAACAAAATAGTTGATTTACCATGGACTGTTTGCTCCAAGTCTTTGGCCACATTGCATACAAAAGCACTGACAATCTTGAAAAACTAATTGTTACAAATAAGATAGAGAGGAAAACAACTAAGAGATTAAGTAGGATATGGTGGTGTGACCGGTAGTTGAAAATTTGGCAGTACCGGTAAATGTCATGCACTCCACCTAGGTGAAGACTGCATGCTAAGTCACGATCCTCAGCAGTGAGAGGCTGATAGAGGAGAGAAGAGTTACCAATTTCACAATAAAATAAATAGCATTAAAAAATTAGAATAGCATAATTCAAATGACATATTTCTAATAATTAAAAAAAATATAACTGTCAATTTGCATAATAACCGCTAAAGTATTTTAATAACCGGCATTTTATCTCACCATAGCACTGAGTCCTTATTAGTCTTTCAACCCTGACATTGGCGAAATCGTCGTGCAAAACGACGGACCCATCATATAAAAGTTGAAGTGGTATTCATTAGCTTTGTGTTAATAAGTTTGTTACTTGTATTAAGTCGCTAAATCAATTGTTAAAATGAAAGTAGGTTAATTGACTACCACGTCGTGTGTTTATGGAGCCTCTTGCAGTAATTTGTGACAAATGTTTATCTTGATAGGTGACAGCAGTGAGCGAGACATTCGTTAATTTGAATTGGGTTTGGCTTGTAAAAAGTGTGTTAGCTGGCAAACAACCATTTTTCTTACATGACCTATACAAGTAAATCTAAAATTTCCGAAATTATTATATAGAAATTGAGTTTTCGATTTGCTAGTTGATAAAACTGTAATAGAATGAACCAAATTACGACATATTTTGACATTTGACAAATTAACCTCACTTATGGACTACAATTTTTCAATTACAATTTTAAGATGTTATTCAAATGAGTACAAATGGTAAAATATCAATTTGAAATGTTAATTCTTTTTTTTATTTAAATAATAATGCACACACTCATAGCCCCACTAGGGAAACCGTGTATTGCGGGTGCCATGAACACACATAGCCAACCACAAATTACACACAAACTCACGAGAGAAATAAATATATAATATAAATTTACATGAATGTGTTACTTAATCCAGTCATTTAATTATTGCTTATGACATGAATTTTAAACAATTTTATTTTTTAATGCAAAATGGATTGAATCACACTAAGATATATGTATTGTCGGCGGACTAAAGCACATAAGTCAAAAAAGTGCTTTATTTGTTAACATATAATTATATTTGTTTTTAGTGTTGTTTATAGTATTGGAGGATGTGAAGAGAATGATTAATTTGAAAAAGAAGCCATTAGAATAAAGTTACAAATTTATGGAGCAACAACTGAATTTGGCTTTATATACTTTAGTCGGTAGACATATTAATTTAAATGAATGATGTTGGATTTTGACTTATGTGCTTTAGTCCACCGACCCTAGACATATTCCAGACAGGATCACTAAGTACTTGAGGCAGTCAGTTTCTTTAGAGTGTCACTTGCACAGCACAAATGTAGAAGTGGTGCTGCTTTAATACAGCACAAATCACTCATCAATTCTTAAATGCGAGTCTCTGAACCGGGTCAACTGTGCCATTAACAAGAAAATCTTCTCCTGTTGAAATTGTATTTTCAGTAACTTTTGACAATAACTGAACCATATTATTATTAGGGTAGCTTCATTCAGGGCCTATGCATCCCCTCGTCACAGTGACCATTGACTGATCTATTGTGATCACCACTAATTAATGTTCTCTGATTGTGGCATGGGCCTCCCAGTATGGAACTTCATATGCCCATCAGGGTGAGTAGATGAACAGGAGTTTCATATGCCTCATGGCAAATCTCTATTCTCTCTCTGTCCAATATTTGACTTTTTTTTATAATATCAAGAGACGGGACGAACAAGTCATCCTGATGGTAAGCTACACGCTTGTCCATAACAGTTGCAGTGCCACTCAGAGCTTTAAATCGCAAAGATCTGAGGGGCACCTCCACAGAACTCGTCACCGTGGAACACAGTAATGCTGACATTACTGCTTGGCGGCAGAAATAGGTGGCAATACTGCTCTGGACGAACTCTTTCATAAGGAACTCCACTGCTACCAAAAATATGTGATTGTTCAAGCCACAATGCCCTGTTAATACTCTATTGAACATTTTTATGCCATTCCTGACCAATGACACAGCTAAACAACTGCTTAATCTATCAAAAAGCACCAAAAACATGCAACACAAAGCAAAATAAGAACATAAACAATGACTAATACATAAAGCTTCAAGGCTTAACCCGTGGGTGTGCGCATGACCTAAATTTGTACATAGAAAAACAACTTTCAACATAAATATTTGCTTGTAAAGTTGTTGTTCATTGTCAGAGTAGACTATTTCTTACCTCACGATCGCCGTAATATCTTCGAATAGCTTCGGCACAAGTTTTGAATGGAGAAATTTTGTTCGGACGTATAAAGGATCCAGCACCAGGCTTAGAGGTCTTGAAATATTGAATCTCATCCACAGAACCGTCGTGTTTTCCTCTAGGTGGATCGTCCCATTCAATGCCGTACCAAATACCTTTGTAGCCCTGCACTTCGCCAATGTATTTCACCGTACCAAAGTCGTCACCGCATTTGATACGACTACCAATATGAACCTGAAACTCTTCTCCGTCTGTACCATTGTGACTGTCCATGGTACCGTTGCAAAATTTTGGAATTAAATTAACAGGCATTGCGCCCACCATCCTTTTTGGGTTTTCGAAAAAGGAACTGTTGATGAAAAGAAAAACAGACTGACTTTTTCACGAAAAACTCAACAACTGTCAATGTCAATGTCTAAATTTATTTCCTAGTGTTGCTATAATTCATTTTCAATGAATTTCTTAAATTCATCATTCATTTTTCAACGCAACAGTTGTTACAGTGACTAATACCGTATTAAAATCAATATTGTTGACTTATTGCAAAACAAACATCTTTCATTTTATCTCAAACTATGCCTCAAACAATCAAAACAATATTGAAAATAATAATAACAATATTGCCATTTCTTTGAAAATCAAATGGCAAAAACATGAGTCGTTCAACAACCATAAGTTCCATTAGCTTCTTAATAGATGGCGTTTATTAAAACAAATTATATACAGTTATCGCTACTTGCCGTTAGATGGTAGTAAAAGACTCATAAAGGGTACAAACTTCCGTGATTGGCTACTGATGGGGATAGTTATAATCCGACCAAATAAGGGAGTGGCACTGAATAAGGGCGATAATGCAAGTTCTTGTTCCGAAACGCGTTGGAGTTTATTAAATTATTAGTTTTGGTCAGCAAAGAATTAGTACTAAGGGCTTGACACAAAAATATTTTATTTGACTCTTGGAACTTGTTTCGGACCGACGAAAAGTTGTAAGCGCCAGTTCAATGTTCCATTTATTTTAATTCCTTCGACGTGTTCGAGCGGTGCTAGCGTCCTCTCGCTCACTGCTTTCCGAAATCTGGAATCGGGAGGCAAAAAATTGTTTTTTGACAAAAATGGCTACCCAAAATGCCCCAGACGTGTACGCCAGTCGATAATACGGAAATGTTACTCGGTGTCTGTGAAATAATGCTGTTTGTCAGTGAACAATTATTTAGTTATGTGCAATAGTACATTCGGATTGATCTCTACAAAGGATACAGCATCAAAATGAGGTATGTATATCCTAAAGTTCATCGCACTATCGAGCTTTCGTTTAAAAACAAATAAATAATTTGCCCATTCATGTCTCAAGGGGTGTTTTATTTATAAAAGTAACTTATTTATCGTTTATAAAACACTTTACACGAGTGCTAGTGCTGTTTTTGTATTCAATTGAAAAAAAAGATAAACAATGAATCTTCTGTCACTTCATCGATTAGTTTAGCCCCACGATACGATTACAATTACAGCTTTTTATGAATGATACCGTATCCTAGACTACATTAACCGTGAAATTAACAATTCTGTCTACAAAAATGTGTAATACTTCGTCATGATACAAGAGTGCGTTATTGATTTTTCTGTATTATTATCATTCGCCCCACACGACGTTATATCGTATTATTTTCGTCACTAAACTCTGTTTTGGTGTTCGAAATAACATTTAGAATTGACCTTGGTATATTTCCCTCGAGTCTGGAAAGGACATTTAGTAAATTGAGGCTTCAACCGTTCGGTATTATGTCGAACGGTATGCGTAATAATTCCCGGAACTAGGGCGCCCCTAATTCCCTTCGGGAGGGTGTATTGTAATTAAAATTATTGCACACGAGTAATAAATTGTCCTTTCTCTATATTACAGTGTATTGTTAATATATACAACATTTACAATAGAGATACTTTTGCAAAATAACGTTTTTTGACTCATAAAAAACTCTATTATATTATATATAACTTCTATATCTAGAAGAGCCTACCAGGGTCACAGAGGTTTCTTTAAATCTCTATATTTGCCACTCTAAGACCTGTGACTAGATGCAAAATGTATAGGTTTGTAATTGCAAATTTGACTCATAATGTAACAACCAAGCAATAAGTAAAATATAGGCAAAAAAACTATTTACTCTATATACATGCCTACACATATGTATACACTACACTACTACATTCTACTATGCACCACTACTACTTTCTTTTAATATTTTTATTTTTTACTTTTTAATTTATCTTTCTTTTAAATAACTTGCCTCACCTTAATTCCATCATACATTAGTAATTAAGTACACAAAATGGTGATATCATAACTTCAAGGAGTTTGTCAATATGATGTATATAATTCTTGTAACATGTGTTTGCATACTTAGATCTAAGTAGATATAGATAGATAGATAAAAACTTTATTTGCTTCCATGACAACTTATTTACTAAAATCAACTAAAATTAACACTATAATAATTATATTAAACTTTAAAAAATCTAGAAGAAACTTACAACTTTATGTGGAACCAATTAAACTAAATAGAATTGGAAGTCATGGAAGTGAAAAGGCTGGGTCAGCTTAGATGCCGTGGCTGCACATGATGCTCGTATTCTATCACGACCCTGTTAAGAGAGACTCGTCATCTAGGACAGTCCTCTGGTATTTTCGTTTAATTAAAAAAAGGTTATATTGATTTATTCATCATTCTACATTCAATTTACAATTTTGAAACTTCCATTTGGTTTTCAAATTAAAATGTCCTTTGACTGTGATTGTTATTTCCTTCCAGTTCATTCTCTCAATTATTGCCTAAAAATGTAATAAACTTTTTGCAACTTTTGTCATATCCCTCTGTCCATCTGCACTTTTTTGTTAAATTGAAAGGCAAGATAGTCAATTAATTTATTTATTTATTTATAATATCAAAATACGGGACGAACAAGTCGTGCGCCTAATGGTAAGATACACACCTGTCCAGTTGCAGTGCCACACAGATTTAAAATGCAATTATCTGAGGGGCACGGCCACTGCAATCCTTAGGTCTTCACCCTAAGACATAAATTGACAAGTCCCATGCACCTGTTATTTCACCAAAATTACACTAAATCTGGGAAGGCACTTGCCTGAACTAGAGAAGATCAAAACAGTTCAAGCCAGGAGAATCCTCCTGATGCTCAGTACTCTGAATTGTAATTACTGGTGATCACAATGAAATTATGCCACCCTTATAACAATAATACAAAAATAGAAATTTCCAGAAAAAATCTCTTGTTGCATACAAATAAAATAACCGTTACGGAACCCTATTGTGTCCAACACGCTCATTGCAACATTGCATTTACAATTTTACTTTTTAATTCTGAATAAAATGGGTTATTTAATTCGTAATAAAATAACCTCAACTTTTTCAATTTGGAAGAAAAACATGGATGTACATTATGTAAGTTCTAGTCATTTTTGTAACACTGAAAACCAATTGTTAATAGTTTAATGACCAGTCCACACATAGGCAATTAGTTAATAAGAAACTCACACCCAATCCAATCATGCCAAGGTCTTCCATTCTTGACTTTATTGATACTATTAATTATTACTTACCATTCTCCTTCACTTGTTATTACTTCCATGTATGCACCAAAATATTGGACAACATTTGTTAACCAATGGCCATCAGGACACTCGGAGTCACTTGTGGCGTAACGGTACAAGAAAATGTTTCTTATTTATTTAATAATGGCCTTCATTGCTGATTAAGAAGAATGATCTTATATACTAACATATCCAACATAGAAACATATGACATACGAGCCCTATGCCCCACCTATGGTGGGGTCGGGCTCGACCTGCGGCGCGTGGTCGCTTTCAGGTTACGGGGTGTGCTTATGCTCTTCGGTAGCACAGTGATTAGTACCACGGGCGCTTGATGCGGAGGTTCCATATTCTTATTTGAGCCAATTTATGAAAAAAATGTTTTTAAGTTGGTTCTGGTCAGGGTATTCTGGGTATTGCCTTCAGAATTATCGTTACTATGGTACTCATAGCACAGGAAATTCCCTAATTTGGGACCAGAAATTTGAAGTGATTGTCTGGCATTTTTCCCTAAATACTTCTTTTTTTGGCATAGCTTCCAATAAAAAGGAATCTAACAGAGAGACGGTCGAGATACAATAACGCTGTAAGTTGTATAAAGATATTATTTCCACTACATCGGGAAGTATGCCTTACATTTTGAACAATTGTGAAATCTAGTCCTCGTGTACTACCTACGTAAGGTGGCGTGTGGACGCTTCGGGCTACGCCCTCCGCTACACCTCGGACTACAGCCTCGGCACTCGTGACTAAAAAAAAATTAACATAGCTCTTTAATGGCGGCCATATTTATAAATGACAAAAAGTAAATTTTGACTGCAAATTATTGTTAAATACCCATAGAGGTCATACATACATATATTTTCATACATAGATATTCAGCTAAATAGAGCAAATTTCCATGTGCCGCTAAAAAGTTTGTATGGCAGACATATTGAAAAATGGCGAAAAATAAATTTTGACGGCAAATTATTATTAAACACCTATAGACTCCCCCCACCAATTTTGATCACAAATTATTATCAAGCTCTCCTAGAGTCCCATATGCCAATTTTTAAAGGGATCAGCAATATTTTTTCTGTCGCCAACGAACGGTTCTATGACGGCCATATTTGAAAATGGCGAAAAACAAATTTTGACCACAAATTATTATCCGGCACTTCTGGCCGGCCTTCACATGCCAATTTTCAGTCGAATCAGAGCAAATGTCTTTCGGCAGCTAACGAAAAAAACACTTGTATGGCAGCCATATTAAAAAATGCGAAAAGAAATTGTTGACCCCAAATTATGATTAAGGACTCCTAAAGACGAAGAAGAAGAGAATAATTTTCAGCCAGATCGAAGCAAGTTTTTCTTCGGCCGCCATTTTGAAATCGCCATCTTGAATTTTTTTAACCCAGGTAGTTGACCAGTGTTACCATCTATGACATTCCTTCAAACACCTCCTACCTATCTCTAATAGTTTCCGTGATAGGAGGCTTTGAAATTTGTATGGCGGCCGTCTTGTTTATTTGAATTTCGAACATTTTTTACTTCCCGCGGAAATTGACCAGGGTGTATCTCATAAAAATGCACACAAATCCCCTCATGTATTATATTATACCATAGTAGTTTTTGCAGGCCGTTAATCGCTCGTTTACATTTTCCACATTCAGGTCTTTTCATATTTGATTCTTTGCTTTGGAGCCTATCCGCGTACAACGGCATAAATATCTTTTTTCTACCATATCGGGAAGT